TGACATTGTACGTACAAATGCTTTCAGTATGTCTGTCACTCATAATGTCAAACTCGTGGTTGCCAACATAAAAAAGTTTATGAAATGCCAAAATGCATTTTATATGACATATTTATTTAACTAATATTTTTATAATAAAAGCTTGATTTATAAATGAACCTAATAATGATTTACTTTCGATTCAAAATAGACGCTTTAAATTAACTCTCAAATATATTTCAACCGATATGTTTAGTAGCGAATTGGTTGTAAATGTAAGGTTTCTGTTTAGTTTCGTATTTAACATTATATCGTACGAGTTTATTTTGTGTTGATAAACTATGTACAGAGGTGCCATCTCTCAATGGCGATGGGAAATCGAATCGCGCCGAGTATTAGTCACCGGATTTAATTACTACGCGTTGCAACCAATCTCGGTAGATGTCAGTCGCACCTCGATTAGCGGGAAAACGGCAACATTTGGTGCGCTTTAGTAAACGTTCGGATATTCTCAACAGATTTTTAATTTTAATTTTTTAACACTTACACATACAAAATTTAAGATTAAATTATAAAAAAAAACTTAAAATTAGTAGTTTCTTCAAATGCAACTGTCTATATAAATGTTTTTTTTTATGAGTGGAAATAATTTTACATTTAAACAATAATAAATATCTCCATATAAAATCCTTTACAGGTTTTGACGTTCAAATAGTTCTGATACTGTATTTTAATGTAATAAACCAATATTAGCTATTCTAACATTGTTCGATGTAATTAATGTAGAGTAACAGATTATAGATAATTTAAGTGTTCTTGTCTACCATTAAATATAAATTTTATCCGCTCTAATGATTTTATAGCTGCTGCTGTGATCACCCGTAGTGTAAACAATAATGTTTTATTACAGTTTGCGCAGCGGTCGCGCCTCTGTTTGACGTGACCTAATATTTAGGTATTACAAGCTGTCACCTCGACTCTGTCCGTGCGGTGTTAAACTTAATTAGTAGGCTATGTGTTCTTCCAAACAATGTTCTACATATATACCAAATTTCAGATCCATGCAGCCTTTCTGGAGATACCTTCTAATAAACATCCACCCATAATCAATAGAAGGGAAGTAGATTAAGAATTTTTTGATAGGGTTTTCATGTTGTTAACGGTTTCTGAGTCTCTTTTTGAGATGAAATAAAAGGCTGTTTTAAGTGAATTATTCACTAATTAATATCTATTCTACTGATTGATGTCTTAGTGTTTATAATTCCCTTGTCTCGTTATTAATGATTTATTTTTAAGAGAGATCGCGTGAGATGGCTTTTGATGAATGAAATGCGCTATGAAACCTCTTTATCGGAAAGTCACGGCCTTACATTAGTTAGTTTTCAAGCTCTAATTGAGTATTGTTTTGTTTCTGATAATGAGCTAGCGCACAAAGTTGCAAATAAATTGGTTATTTTATAAGCGTAATACATAACTAAAGTATTGCTTTTTAAATGAATATGTATCTACTTTTTATATGTTTAATACTACTATTGTTGTCTTTTTTATATCATAAGGTGGCAAACGAGCGAGTGTCCACCTGAAATCGCTGAAATAGCGAAGTGACCGTTTCCCAAAGACATATGCAATTGCATGTGCGTTGCCTTTAATCGACGGAGGAGACGATGCACAGAAAGAAAATATTTTCCCTTTCCATGTATCCTCTCATCCGGAAAGTCCACTTCCACTTCCCTCCCTTTCCTTATAAGAAAAAGGGTGGGAAGGGAAAGGGACTAAATTAGGCCTCCGGGACGCACACTCATGAGACGAAACGCGGAATTGCTTCCACTTGACGTCTGTCTTCTGTGTGGTCGTGGTATTTCACCGGACGAGCCGGGCCAATTTGTGCGAAGATGTTAAAGCGGGCATTGCCACTGTTAACACTTTTGACACAATAACAGAAGGTTCTCACTGCAGAAACAATTACAAAAACATTTAATCATCCTTTTCGTTATCTTAGTAACTCTTGTGTCTTGTCAAAACTATCAAAGTAAAAAGAGCATTTCAGTGTACGGATCCGCTTTAATAATTTACAATAGAGGTAATAAATGTTGTTAGAGTAAAATGTAAAATTTATTCCTAATTGTTTACTGACATCTTGACATCTACTTACACATCTTACTTCTTACAAATATTATTTTAATTATTTTTTTTTTAATTCCGCGCAGAGTCTCGGACGACAATTAGTTTTTGATATTTCGATTAGCAAAGTATCAAGAATATGTTGTCATAGTTTTATCAAACCAATGAAGACAAGACGGTGCTACTCTTAGGTTACAAGTTTTTAACTGATGATAAATCATGTAGTTGGTTTCTGAGACCACAAACTCTAAATTATATCGTAATCATTGTTGACAAAACAGAGGTAACAATATGTTTTGAACTGAGATTTCGGTTTCAGAAACCCACGGTTAATGCGCTTATCGTAAATGAAATAGTTGAGAAGTTTTTTTTTCTAGAAGAAGGTATATTTGTAACGTTAAGAGGAAAGTGTGTAAGGAATTGAATAGAATGTTGGTGTTATGCAAGCGACGGTGTTATCGACCTGAACAATTTCATGCAGATAACCTACATAGCGCCCAATACAGCGTAATGTATCGATTTAAATTCATGTTTCTTTTTTTTCCACTTGCATATATTTTGATCGCCAAGACAACGTTGTTCAAAGTCCGACCCATTTTGAATGTGATGCCGAGTATACTATTAAATAATCTTGGTACTTTATTTAAAAAAAAATTACAATATGCCAGTACTTTGAGCTTAATTATAAAGACTATTTGTTTATAGTCTGGATTTGTCTAATCGGATTTAATTTGAAGTTTCTTAAAAGTTTGTAGTCGTCGTGTACAAACGTAAGGTCAGTATTGTTTTTTATTTATATAGATAAATTAAAATATGTCTGATAACTCGTGATCTGTATTATTTTCTTACGATCACGTTCTATTTTTTTCAATAGTTGTTTACTTTTTAATAAACTTTGCAACGGTCAATTGTATTATGTTTACATTTATTTCTTTTAGCGATTGTTGTTTGCTATATTTTTTATTGTATGTTTCTTTTTATTTAATATTTATTTTCCTCTGATGTAGAGTTATCTCTTTGATTAGAAGTAATTCTGTGACAGTAAAATATTAGTTTTCCATATGTTTATATAATGTTGTAGTTTTCATTAAGAAAAAATACAACTGTTAAATTAAATTGTTTTAATTAACTTCGTGTACTTTAGAAATTACTTTGTTGGTTAATTATTTCTTTTTTTAATAATTTTACTTTGTTTATTCGTTGTATCCAATTTACAAATATTTGTATACGAAACTATTGTAGTTTTCACATGTCTGTGATTAAAAGAAATGGTTGTTTTATATCCCTCTATATACGACGTATTAACAGACGTTTAAACTTTTAGTTACTTTACGTAAATGTTGGTAAATAGTACATAAAAACTGTTATTATGTACCGACTATTTTAATATTTTTAATGCTAATCATGTATCGACGCAAAAATAAGCTCTAATTAGATATAAACGAAGTGATTTTATAATTTTATTTAAACTTTTATTATCTATGGTTTGAGAATTTTCGCGTTTATGTCGAAAATATTTGTAATTCCAATTGTGACGGGTGTGCGTGTTGTGACTCTTTCATTAAACTGTTTAAAATTAACTCGTAGTGATAATCGCCGCGACTGCCGAGACTGCGGCTAGATAACCTCGTCTTATCTGTCGCTTAACACTGCCGCTGCTACGGGGCTTTTTTGACCCGTTAATATGTTTACTTTTTAATTTATTGATTTTAAAGTAACATAATACATTTTTTTTGCATAAGTAAGTAGCTAAATTGGTAAGGTATGAGCGAAAGACGGTGTTAGAATAAATAATAGAGTATAGAAGATACAACAGGGGAGACAAATGATAATTGTTAAACTCTTTCGGCCCCTCTGAGTTTTAGAGTTTTTAGAATTTCTGTATTTATCTTCTTGTTATTAAACCTACGTACTTATACTATTTTATTACAATATTGTTAGGTGATGCAAGTCAAGGAAATTTATTGATTTAGCCAAGTTAAACAACAAATCGGTTCCGAGAAAAAAATAATACTTTAAATCATTGGCACGGAAATATATATCTGCATGTGCACCATTTGATTTCCTAAAATCACATTCTACATGACAGTTGACATTCTTACTAAGAATCCAGTATGAATTACTTGTGTTGGTGCTTTTGTGATTTTATAAATAAATCGTAAGTCTTTGATTACACGAAATTACTCACTTGTGTACCATTGGCGACCGTCCAGCGGTGCGCGTGCGTTCCTGCTACCATTCCACCACTATTTCTGTATTTCTGCATGTTGATATGCCACTGTGTTTACACTACAATGTCAATGTAGACCGTTTTTTTCTTTGTACGCTAAGCAATTAGGTAATGCGACGCAATTAGAAATATTGCATGACCTCATATTCAATAGTTCTCCGAGTATGTCTGTTATGAAATATACGTATGATACGAAGTAAAATAAAACAAATAACATTGAAAAATGAAGATGACATTAAGGGCTTTTAGTGATTTTGGCCCATCTTTGAATTTTAATAGTCATGTTCTACCTGACATTATTTAACTAAAACTTAAATTATATAGATATAAAATTTTATAACTTCATAGGTAGTGCTTTTTTATCAACTATCTGTTAGAGAAGATTAGATCGCGCTCGGGGCCTATTCGGCCACGGCGGCGTTGCACGGTCAGATAAACAAGGTACGGTTGTGCCGGGGCGCTATCGCGCGCTCGGCCGGAGGCTGGCGGCTGTGCGGCGCTCGGCTGGCAGTGCCGCCGGCGCGCGCGCACAGGAAGCATGTGCGACGCGATCGAGCCGTCATGTACATAGAGCCGGCCGCGTTTCGTGCTCCGAGCGACGAATCGCTCGCGCGCGACCACACGCCGGCGCCGGTCTGGACGCAGTGCTTACCCTCGCCCTTATTCGCAGGCAAGAAGGCGCCCCTCAAGACCTATGAGGAGGTGCAGCCGCTCCTCCAGCAGGGCCGCAAGCGCGACCTCAAGCTTGTCATCCGCGAAAATTCCTGGCCCATCAACAGCCCCGTGCGAGCCGCGCTCTGGCCCGCGCTCTGCAGACAGCACCAGCATGGCAAGTCCATGCTCGACGGCTTCTACTGGGACATGGTCACGCAGGTCAGTACTCCTTACTTTTATAATTATTTTTATTTTAATGTGATCATAACGTGCACTTTATCTCGCTAAAACTTACGTCAAGGTCTCGTGTATTTACTTTGTTCGTCGCCGCCCGAATTCTGCTGAGATACCGCGCCCCCTGATAACATGTAGGTATTCGATTCGAAGGTCATCGAATCGAGGACGTAATATTCATTCAGGTAGCCTTAAGCTATTTCGCAAGATAAAGCTCTCGTTCAAGCTAATATAACCTTTAGTGTAAGTATGCGATGCGATGAAGATCGCTTGTCAGGTTAGTTAAGTGCGGTCTCCATTGTCAAGTTAGTAAGCGCGTACGTGACGGCCGCTTCGAGATGAAATTACAGCGTGCAAGTCGGTACGTCACGTGGTCGCCCAAAATGTTTCCTAGCGCTTTTGTTTGTCGGCGATATTGATTCAGTGGAGCGCGACGCTCGCCGAAAACAAGATGAAGATAAGATAGCAGCTTCTATCGTCGCTGATGACACATCGCAACACTTAAACTATGAACAAATTACATCCCGACGCATTTTCGTATTTTCGTTTATCATTGATTGTCTTTCATTTGTCATAGTTATACGTGATTGTTTTGTTTACTTTTAACAATACATTTGGTTCAACTTCATTAAGATGCTTGTTTTTCCCTTGTTATCATCGTCTCTGCTACTATGTTATTACAATGTCGTTAAAGATTGATATATACTGAAGCAATAGTTAATTATAAAATAAATTCGGAAATCTATTTAAAAATAATTGTATCTTTTTAAATAACATATATGAAGTAATATATTGTCAAAATGTATGTACAGTGTAAAGCATTGTAGTGTGTAGTTTCTACAATTACATAAGACGGGCGCGCGGTGTGTACGACATCAACGCGCATCCATCCGCCGCGCACGGCATCACAATTAATGCGGCGATCCAAACAACCCGCTAAGGCTTGCTACAAACTTTTTTTTAATATTGCTTTTGTATGATCTCGTAGCTGGTAAATGAATTACAAAAGTAATTTATTGTAATTAAGGCTTAAGTATTAAGGTCTTCATCATTTTTTTATTATAGTTTTTAACGGTATTAAAAATACAATCAAAAAGTTTTTATGTATAATATCGATCGGGTACAAAATCGATTTTGAAAATCTATTAAAACCATAAGTTAAAATTACGAGAAGTTAAAATAGAAAGACTACAAGTATTTTCATCGATTAGCATTTTATTTGTTTTTAATTAATGTGAAATTATTTTGTTTTAATAAAAGCTATTATTTTGTAGGTTGCCTGTATTGCACAGCTGGTGCGTATTGATTACAGCAAGTGATTCGGTCCACTCATTGTCTTGACCGCGCCTCGCAGCGATTATGTTTTTGTCGGCGAATACTGACGCGTGTTTTAGCGGGAAAATAGTAATACTTGATATTAGATAATATACGAGTACTGTACAAGTAAACGTAGAAATATAATATTAAACTAAGCCTCAGCCTTCGTGAATAAAAGCAAAAAGAGGCAAAGGGCTACTTCGAGGGTATCGATAAACTATCGTAGTAAGATAATTATGTTAAAATTAAAAAGTATTTTTAAGCATACAGTTTATATGTAATTAGATACATAATTTAAAATTTGTATAGACATAATTTAAATTTAATGTTTTGTTGGAAAATGTAAAAGAAGTGATAAAAGAAAATTTTTATCAAATTACATTTTCGGATTACAAAAACGTAATTTGGGATGAATGCCCTCAATTTAGAAACAATTGTATTGTATTGTAAAGCTAAAAACAAATTACATTAGCGAATTTATGTTGAAAACAATGGTATACAAAAGCCATGCCTCGGGAAATTGAACGTAAATTGTACACGTTCGTAATTAAACTCCTCGTATTGTTTTTTAACTAAATTCAAATGTAATTATTCAGATGTCGGTTAAAGCTTTTGTGAAGTAAGTTGCTTTGTTTTAGTAGAACGATGTAATTAATCACTACGTCGCTTTATCTGATTTCCTACTAATATTATAAATGCGAATGTTGAGATGGATGGATGAATGAATGGATGTTTGAAGGTATCTCCGGATCGGCTCAACGGATTTTGATGAAATTTGGCACACGTATAGAACATAGTCTGGAAGGACTCATAGACTACTTATTAGTTTTTTTTTAATTACGCGCGGACGGAGCCGGACAGCTAGTTTACCATAATTTTATAAGAAAAAAAAATGATGCAGCAATCTAAATTTTCGGCTAATCCATAGATGCGCTATTTTAACAATGTTTTTGTTATGAAATAAATCAAAATCTTAAAACGTTTATCCTATAAATCTTAATGTCAGAATTCGGCTGACGCACATACAGACTGGCGTATTGGAATGCGTCATACCGCGGGGAGGTCGTCATTGTCTTAATCTTAACTTGCATTAATTTATTTACTAACCATCCGGCTATCCATACTGACGAAAAGGGAGAAAATTCATATGAACACATATGGGAAAATATAGTATCAGACAATTTTACTATGTCTAAAATATACTATTTAACAATAGGTAACACTTAAGTGAATCTGGTGAAGGCATCGACTAATTTCAGACCCATAGAGGGACCTTCTTGTAAAATGTTCTTCTAAAATCTATCTATATATCTAATATATATAAGAAAGTCGTGTTAGTTACACTATTTATAACTCAAGAACGGCTTTACCGATATGGTTGAAAATTGGTGAGGAGGTAGCTTAGAGCCAGGAGACGGACATAGGATACTATTTATTCGTTTTTTTCAAATAGCCTTGAAGAGCTGCTATTTAGAGCTATTTAAGTTAATAATATTATAAATGCGAATGTTTAGATGGATGTTATGTGGATGGATGGATGGGTGGGCTACACTAATTAAGTTTTTTATATATCCACGCGACGGAGTCGCGGGCGACAGCTAGTGTTTGATGTATAAAAAAGTTCTAAATTTTACTGTATGACAAAACCATAAAAATGATTGTATGTAAAGTATTTAATAGGCGTAAATATATCTTTGTTTTTAAAATTTCGATGTCATTAAAGCTCATGTTCTAGATAATATATTACTTATTGATAGTGTTATTATATAGTAATCAATAAACAAACAGCCCGTTTAAAGGTTACGGCGTGTAAGAGTGGATCAAACACGTGGCAACATTAAATATATACTTTAAACGTAAATACAATTGTAATCGTTTTCTAACTTCTCAAATCTTTTATTATTAAGAGGATAATTTACCTTGCATAGATCTTGTGTAACACTCTAAAATTATGAGCTTGATTTGTTTCTAAAAGTTATTAAAATTCTTTTGATGTGTTGTTTTGTTGAGCTAAATGGTAAAAAATTTACTTAGTAAACAGTTGTTTAGCGGAAAAGTAAATCTATAAATTTGATTGGCAAAAGACGGGATTCGTTGATTTTAAGACTGAAAGATAATTCATTAAATTATTCAAACTTTCCTGAGACATTATATAAACACGGCTAAACACTCACGTATATTCGTCCGGTGGCGGCACCGACTAGTTTCGAGCCCATCGGGGGCCTTCATCAGGATGAGTGGTACTGGTATTATTTCGGGGACGCGGCCCGTCGCTAACAAAGTGACTCATCCTGATGAAGGGCCTCCGATGGGCTCGAAACTAGTCGGTGCCGCCACCGTACGAATATACGTGAGTGTTTAGCCGTTTTTATATCAGTTTATTGAGAGATAATTCTCTTGGTGATGCCTGTATTGTAACCGAGCGCTCTATGATATCTCGCATTTGCCAATAATACTTGCCCGAGGCGTTTTCACCGACCGAGTGCATTATGAAACTTTATTTCGGCACGCGCTGGCACCTCGTCAACTGACGCCCGATCACCTTCGTTTGTGCGCATAATTTTATATGTACATGTGTATGACAGTCACTGTATATACATAGCTAGTATATATATCTTGAAAATAATTATGTATAAATGATGCGTTGAAAATAATAATAATTGACACGTAAAAACAATATAAAAAAAGTTGTTACAATGTAAATGTTTTCAGTATGTAAATATAATAGTTCTGTCTATTATATTTATTTTGTTTACATTATCTGATCAAAAGTTATGGCATTTCTATAATACATATCCTAAAGTGCACCTAAGCTTGATGCTAAATTTAACCTCATCCATTAGGATAAAAGCCGCGGAGTATTTGCAAGCTAAACGTAATACAAAGCGTAAACACCGAATGTTCGCTTGAAGGTCGCGAAACATGCATAAGAAATGTACCTACTCCAGTAAATAGCCCAAAAAATTATATTACATCTTAATATACTAAGTCCGTTATTAGATATCCTTTGTAATATTCAAATAAATTCAGATCATGGTGAATTCTGTTATTTTGTGTCCCAAATGAACGGATAACAGCCTTATTTTACTTAAATAACGCAATTCGCAGGCATTAGTAAAAGGTTTGTTAACAAAACGCTGTTTTTTTTTTAAATACCGAATCTGTATGAAGATAATTCAAAGATCAATGATTTTGTTTATCCAACTCCTCGATGACAAACACAATGAGAACGTTAGCGATGAGTCAAACAGTTGGGCACGCGCCGGTCGCTCGCCAATATTCCGGTTTTCTGAGAAGCGAAGGCAAAGGCATGCACATCTCAAAATATCCGCCTCCAAGCTGATGTCACGCTTCCTGTTGTGACCATTCCGGTACTCACTTCCGAACACAATGTTTATGTGTTATGTATGCAGCTACCGTAATCTTTGATATCTTTGTGACTAAAATTGATTTTGTATTGTTTTGCATAGACTACTGGTGTATTATTATGGTTTGACAAATTTGTTAAAGAATGTTGTTATTGATAGCAAAAAAGTTAGAAAACTTCTGCCATCAAATGTAGTTCATGTAAAATTTTGGTTCTAGCTCTTTCGTTCGAATAACAATTGTTCTGGTTAAAATCTGGATTATGCAGTATCGTATTTCGGCACGCGTCCCTTGCCGTCTTT